AGTTTATTGTGCCAGCCTGGCCGATAAACACAAGTAGGATTAACTGAAGGGCAGAGAGATAAATGGCTTGGTGAGTCTCGCCTTTCTTGTCTCTCACTCTTTGATCATCGGACCAGTGTGCGGCTGCCTTGGTTGTCCTGTGCCTCAATTTAAAGGCTACACTACCTGTGGGACGCCTAGCCTGTGGACTGTGTCGCTGTAAGTTGAGGTCCCTTTAAGAGATCGCTGGAGCTGGGTACTGGCAGTTGGTGACCTGGCTGGCAGTTGGTGACCTGCCTTGTGATTGGCTGCTGTGCTGACATAGCCTAGCTCTCTCTATAAATAGAGGAAGATCTGGCAGCAGACTAGACTGGAAGGACTGCTAGTCTCTCACAACTCTCTCTCACGGGAGTGAGTTGTATTGAGCCATTTGTAGTGCTTTATAATTTAACTGTTTATTTCTTGTATTATATATTTATCTGTATATGATTCAACAGTTCATTTCTTGTTATATATCTAATTATCTTTATAAATAAATATATTAAATTATCAGCAATTTGGGTTTATCTGTCTAGGGAACCCTGTCTAACACATTGGCTTTGAACTTTATTCTACATTCTTTTCTCCCACTCTGTCCAGGACCTTTGGTAGTCTCAGCAGTAGAAGTTGGGTACCATCTAGTTCTGCTTTCAGGGTAGACTAGGCAGCTGTGTTTTTGCATGGTCCATACTCCTTTGGATTAATTTTTCCTTTAGTTTCTGTTTTGTGTGTCTATGTCTTTGATTCCACAAATATATCTCTGGGGTCACACTCAGACCCTGCTTTCTGTCCCTGAAAGTCTGTTTTCATAGCTTGCTCACACATTCTGACATTCTCCAAGGGGAGTTCATTCTGGGCACAACCCCCTGTTCAGGGCTCCTACATGGCCTGGTGCTAGAGCTTATATTCTGCTCTGCTCCTCCACCAAGCACACATACTAAGTGGGAAGGCAGAGTGATAAATAATGCCACACTCAAAAGTGACAACTCTTAGGCTTGCCTGACAATTGCAGTCTCCCCATTTGTAAACAGGAGTGAAAATGAGTCCTGACTGTGTGCTGCCCAGCCATTGTTATTAACAGAGGAGGGGGTACTTCCGGCAGACAGCTCCCATCAAGGCAGTTTGGGAAGAGTGGACCTGGACCTTGTCACCGGTGCCCCCACCCACTCCCACCCTCTAGCTCTGTTCTCCCTGCAAACCTCAAAACCAACCACCATCAAGTGGATTCCGATGCAGAGCTGCCCCATCCAGGGTCTCCCAGACTGTTAATCTTAATGGTAGCTGACAGCCTCATCTTTCTTCTAGGGAGCAGCTGGTAGGTTTGAACCACCGACTTTGTAGTTAGCAGTCCAACACTTAACCTGATAGAGTCAACACAGCTCTGTTCCTTGTTAGAATTGTTCTCCAGCTATTAATGAAAATGTGATTGGTTTGGAATTTTTGCATGTAGGAGTTGAGACACCCATCAATAGAATTGTGGGGGTTACAGGTTATAAATTAACCCTGGTGTTATGCAGGTTGTTTGTTTGTTTGTTTGTTTTGGGGGGGTTATCCCTCAGAGCTCCAGTACTGAGCACACCACATGCGGCTTTGCCCAAAACGAGGCTCTGCTCTGCCATCCACGGGCATGCCTTAGGTCTTTCTTATGAGGCTTGGTGAGACCCTAACTCTGCCTCAGGCCAGAAATCCTAGATCCTGGGGGCACTGAAGCTCCACTCACTTCTGACCCGCCCCCTCAGACCCCTCCCTCTCCTGAGGCCCCTTCCTCTCCTCCACCTGGCAGCTGGAGTCTCAGAGAGGTGAGCCACGAGGTCTAGGCAGCGCAGCTGAGCCACTGCCAGGATGCACTTACCAAGGCTGAAACTACCCCCATCTCCACCCTACCCCACCCGACCCCACCCCATGCGATTCACAGGCCCTTTCCCTCTCAGACCATCAAGGTGCCAGGGCAAGAGAAGTGCCTGATGTTACAAGACAGGTGAGGAGAGGCCTAGCTGTTCTGGAAGGCAGCTACATGGCCAACTCAGGGAGGAGATCCACTCTTGTGCTCATTCCCCAAAGTGGCCAAACAGCATGTGGAAATCATCTCCTCAAAAGTCACAGCCATAGAATCAATTCTGACTTCTAGTGACCCTGTAGGACAGAGTAGAACTGCTCCTGTGGGTCTCCGAGACGAGCTCTGTACAGGAGTGTAGTGTGCTTATGCCATGGAGTTGGTTCCAACTCACAGTGACCCTGTGTACAACAGAGGGGACACCACTCTGTCCTCTCCGGCCTCACCAACTCAGTGACCCTGTGTACAACAGAGAGAAACACCGACCGCTCTGTCTGCCCATCAGTGCAGGCAATGTTATCAATCCATCTCCTTGAGGGTCTACATCCTTTTTGCTGCCTGCTACTTTACCAAGCATGACATTAGTCTCTCCTGACATGTCCAAAGTACAAGAGACAAAATCTTACCTTACAAGAGCACTCTGGCTGTACTTCTTCCAAGAGAGATCTGTTTGTTCTTTCCACAGTCCATGGTACTTTCCATATTCTACAGCATCATAATTCAATCGCAAGAGTAGAAACCCTCATCTTTCTTCTGAGGGGCATCTAGTGGTTTCAAACTTGTGACCTTGCAGATAAAAGCCTAACGTATGCTCCATTATGGCACTGGAGCTCCTTGAAATAATCTAACATTACCATTAATACTTCAATCTAACACTACCATTAATAACAATGTAAATAAGACAACTGGGTCAATAGGTAACATCATGATAAACCAAATGGAAGTTGTCAAGGATTTTGTCTTGCTTAGATCCACAAGCAATGCCCATGGAAGCATTAGTCAAGAGATCAAACAATGCATTGCATTTGGGTCGATCTGTTGCACAAGACCTCTTTGAGTGATGAAAAGCAAGGAGGCTACTTTGAGGACTAAGGTACACTGACCCAAGCCATGGTACTTTCAACAGTCTCATGTGCATGTGAAAGGTGGACATTGGATGAGGAAGACTGAAAAGAATCGATGCCTTTGCATTACGATGCTGGTGCAGAATATTGAAAGTACGATGGACTGCCAGGAGAACAAACAAATCTGACATTTCCAGAATGCTCCTCAGAGAGGAGGATGGCAAGACATGAACTTTGGGCACGCTGTCAGGTGAGACCAGTCTCTGGAGAAGGACATCATGCTTGGTAAAGTGGAGGGGCAGGGAAAAGGAGGAAGCCTCTCAACAAGATGGATTGGCACCGTGGCTGCAGTGATGGTTGATGCTCAAACATAAGAACAACTATGAGCATGGTCCAGGAACAGGCAGTGTTTCCCTCTGTTCTACAGCGGGCCACTATGAGTTGGAACCAAGTCAATGGCACATAACAACAAGCATTCATTCCACAGTGGGTTTAAATGTAACAACTGTGGAGGACAGCCAAGAGCAAGCAGGGTTTCATTCTGTCATCCTGGGGTACTCATCAGTCAGTCAGAATCAACTTGATGGCGCCAAACAACATTATTAACAGATTAAAACATAATTAACACACCAGAAAATTCATCCATTTCAATGTGCAATTCAGTGGTTTTCAGTAAACAAAGCCATTCACTACCACAATCTAATTTTGCAATGATGTGCCCTGCCCAGCATGATGCCATTAGCTGTCACTGTTCATCCCCCATCCCCATGCTGGACAACCACTGCTCTGTCTTTACAGATCTGCCCACTCCAGCTTCTTCAGGAGAAAGACAGGGTATTCTGCTCCTCAAGAGGGTGACAGCCTCAGGGGTAGTTCTTCCCCATCCTATGGGGTGGCTGTGAGTTGGTACTGGCTAGATGGCACTGAGTTTTTGAGTTGTTCTAGCTTCTTTAGCTTGGCGTGCTCCCGGGGCTCACTGTGCTGTGGCAAGTGTGGGAAGGACGCCCCTTCGCACAGCCTGATCCATTGTGTGGATGGGACCCAGGCACCCTTGGGCTTGCTTGACTTTTGGCTCCTGTGAGCAATGCTGCCATCAACCTTGGTAGAAGCTTTTTGGCGTGTACTTGTGTTTTTTCATTCTCTTGGGGATGTACCTAGGCATGGACTTGCCAGGTCCAATGGTGGGCCCTCTAAGTGACTGACGAGTTCCAGGCTGCTCCCCAGAGCCTTGACTCCAGGGGTGTGGTTCCAGAGGGTCCCATATTCGCACACCTGGCACAGCCTGTCTTGTTGGCCCCAGCCATTCCAGTGGAGTGAAGTGATAGTTCCCGGTGGGTTTGATTTGCACACCCCAGGAACATCTTTTCCTGCCGTACACAACTAGCCTGCTAGCCCCTTGTTGTTCTGGCCCGGACACTGGGGGACCTGAGGTGGCCTAGGAGGCTCCAGTACAAAGCAGTACAACAGGTCCTGGAGAAACTGCAAGATCTTCAAGGAGGTTGGTTCCTATTGGTTATTCTGAATTTCAAAGGTGACACCCACCGCAATAGCAAGACCCACGGGCAACAGACCCCAGGACTGCTGGGTGCTGGCAGCAGAGAGGCACCTGGGCGTGGGAGGATTGCTGTGCGAGGCCGGTCTGTTCATGCAACCAGCCGAGGAGGAGCAGAGGTTCGCTAGCGAGTAAGGAATGTGTGATGAGCTGCCAAACCGGGTGGGCGACTCTGCTCCTCCCAAGGCGAGACCCACTGCTGACGCGGGAGGAAAAGGCAGAAGGTCCCTCTGCCTGAGTTCGCCTGCCACCCAGCCCCATCCGTGCACTGTATCCCCACTCACTGTAGGGACACCTGTGCCTCCCACCCCGCGCCCAGTGCAGCAGGTACCCCTGGCCTCTCGGACCGCCGTGGCCCCTTCCAACTACTTGCTGGTCCAAGGATCTGGCAGAGTAGGCCCTGCGTGCCCCCGCCCAGAAATTCCATTCTAAACATCTCTGAGCGCTGGGCGTGGGTCTGCCTTCCCTGCCGGCGCGCCCGCGCACTCAAGAACGTTCCACTCGGGCCCGGTGGCCTCGCCAGTCTGAGCGGCGCGGCGCCTGTGGCGGCTGGAGACGCGATGGACGCGCGGACGCCTGACTCTGCGGCGAAGCTGCTGGGCGAAGCCGTGAGTGGGGACCCTCCGCTCCCTGGGTCCTTACCCCAAGCCTGATGATTATGCGGGCGGGTACCTGGGGTCCCTTCCTCCATTCCCGGGGCAGACACCCACCCCCTCTCCTGCCAGTGGGGTGTCAGACAAGCTGGATCGACCCCTCCCAGGGGCTTGTTTTGGTTTGGGCCTGCCCTCTGAAGGGCAGGATTGGGGTTCTGCCCACCCTCACCCCCTAGAGGGCGCAGGGGATCCCACCCTGGGAGGAAGCAAATTTGGGATTCTGGCTTCTCCCTGCAGGTGTCAAGAGTCCTGTCCTGCCCCCAGCCTGCTCCCTCCAACCGGTGTGGTGGAGAACGTGGGTGGGGGTGGAGAGGAGGTCTGCCTGGGAGACTGGACATTCCAATTCACATGACTGAGAGGGTGGACACGTCAGGGTGACTCAGCAAGCTCCCCACAAGCGCAGACACCTCCCAGCATAAGGCCTTACTGGCAGGGCAGGCCTTGGGGGTTGTGCTGTTTAAGAACCAAGACTTGCTGCTGGGGGCGCAGAGACCCCTGGTGGTTCCAGCCTGTGGGCTGCGATTGTCTTCACTCGTTTTGGCCCAGCCCAGTGCCTTGAAAGGGTTCCTTCACTCTTCCAATCAAAAGGCCTTGTTGCCATTGTCAAAATTCAGTTGGCTCTGGGGTCTATTCCTTGTCTTTTAAATGTCCTATACAACTAAAAACCAACAAACAAAACCTAACTCACTGCCATGCCATCGATGCCAACTCATGGTGACCTTTTAGCAAAGGGCAGGACTGTGGCTGTGTCTGAGGCTATAGCTCTTTATGGGGGGAGAAAGCCCCGTCTTTCTCCTATGCAGCGGTGGGTGGTTTCAAACTACTGGCCTCGCAGTCAACAGCCTGTTTAACCACTGTGCCATTGGGCCTCCTCAGTGAGTGTTAAATCCAGTTGCAATATAGTTTTTGATTTTTGTTTTTTTCAGGCAGAAAATCTATTCCAAGAACTTCAAGAGCATTTCCAAGGTCTGACTGCAGCATTGAACCTCAGCAATATCCTTTTCCTGTAGCGAAGCCTCTCTGCTTAGACCACCGAGTGACATGGTCCTCTTTTCCCTACCAGGAGACAGTGGTTTACTTAGGACTTCCCCGTAATCACACCTGCATCTTTATGTGACAGCCTCACCTCCAGCTGGCTACTTGACTTCCTGTTGGGCAGACTAGGTGGGACAACTGGACAGTCAATCCCAGTGCAAGGCACACTGCAGACAATACTACCCAAAAGCGCTTTCCCAAAAGCCCACACCCGGCCCATCTGCCCCCAAACACTCTGCTTGTTGCTCTCTAACCGAGAAGTCTGTAGTGGGCTCCCCCACTATCAGGTGTTGCCTCCAGTAGCTCTCAGCTGGTTGCGGGAACCTGAAATCAGACCTAGCAGAGAACTTTTGTTTACAGTTTGAGCAAGTCCAGTGATGAGTTGCCCAAGTGTCCAGTTTGAGTTCACTTTACACAACGAAGGAGTCCCAGTAGGTTACAAGTGTGGCTGCTACCCTCAGGTCAGGATTGCTCTTTGGGAGCATGAGGCTTCTTCCTCCTGTAGAGAGACGGTCTCGGAAGCCCCAGGGCCATTCTGCTCTGTCCTGTAGGGTCGCTATGAGTTAGAATCATCTCCATGGGAGTAGATTTGGTTTATACAGCTCAATGTGTCCCTTAAAAGCGGAGAGACACGGCACAGTGAGCACCTGAGGGTAACGGAGACATTGGGGAGTCCACAGTGGCGGTGGGGCTTGATGGACCAACAATGCTTTGATACCAACATATTCACCCCAAACCGAACTAGCAGACCCATGGCATTACAAACAGGCCTCAATTGTGCAGCTCCCCCATGTACAAGGCACCCCAATGTGTGAAAAGTGTGCAGCAAAGGGGTTGCTGATAGAAATGGGGAAAACCACTCCATTCGTGTGTGTGTGTGTTTGTAACCTGTGTAAACTGTTTGCATATGGACCAATTATTTGCAACCTCTGATGTTACACATGTTCTCACTGTGGGGAGATTCTGAAAGGTAGTATAGCAAAGCCATTGAAGAGTAATTACCTTTCATTGTAGTTACAACTCACTAGAATTAGACGCACACCAGGCCACCATCCACCGAAGTGTCAAGGGACCAAGGCAGCAGTGAGCTGTAGGGAGGAAAGCCTAAGGACAGATCAAGAACAAAGCCAAAGCCCTCATGGGCAGTAACCGGTAGGCGCTGAGTGGACCCCTTTGCCCTGGAGTTTTCCATTCACACCAGCAGGTGCAGGGGATGTTGAGGCAGCACGCCTTGGAGGCTTTGCTTGGCCTGCCTGCGGACTGAGCTCTTCCCGCGCCCCCACCCACACCCCCACCATCGTCCTTAACATTGTACTGGCAGAAATGGGAACTCGCATCGACGCGTTACTGAAGAATGTAAGTGACCTGATGATGCAGGCTGGGATCGAAAGCCCCATAAAGAACCCACCGTAAGATCACTATTTGGAAAAAAAAAAAAAGATCACTATTCGGAAACCATCTCTTGATCTTTTGCTTGGCTTTTGATTGCTTTCCACTTGAAAAATACAATCCCGTATTTGTTTGTTCAGGGAATTACTATTCTGTATCACATGACATTTTCAGGCATTATAAGATACTTACAAATGTTATTTTCTAAATAGACCAACTAAAACAAATTTGGTCATAATTCCTTAAGAACCAAACATTTTGAATGAAAAACAGTACTCTTTAGAAATCATTCTTTATTAAGTAGTTTTTATTCCCCCCCCACACCCAGTAAGTCAGTCATCAATCAAAACAGAACACAGTGGATTTGAGGTGACAGCTCATGGTTTGAGATACTTGTGCAACTAATTAAGAAAGGCCTATGCGCATTAAGCCCTTCATTCAGTCTGAGAGTTGCCCTGAAGACCCTTAGCAACCGAAATGTGTCTTTTTCCAGGTGAATTTCAGACTTTGAGATCAAATTAATGCTGTTTCAGGGCCAAGACTCGGTGCATGTCCAGGTGCACATGTGGAAACACAGAACTTTATTAAAATACCAATTTGTATTTTCCTGATGTACTATGCTGACTATAGAAGCAGACTTTCATTGAACAATGTCCACGGCTTTGTGCACTGACGATTGCTCTCCCAAGTCAGCTGTCAAATTATCCATCCTTCTCTGCTCAACCAGTTAGCTCTGAGATCGATGACGTACCAGTATCTGACCCAGTGCTCCGAAAGAAGGTAATCAGATGGCCTCCTACATATGCACTGCAAACTGGGGCAGAAGCATCTGGACCCTGGAGAGTGAAAAATACGGCTGCACTATCTAGCTTATATCATGCAGGCCTACCCGTCCTGAAGCCCTTACCCTTCTCCACAGTCAGCGTCCCACCACCCTTAGCTGATGCCTTCGGGCAGTTCCCTCTGCGCATCCCTCCCTGTATAGCCAGCTCCTGCGAGGGTAACCAGTCTCTGCCAACTTGCCTCCCCAATCTACCCCAGGTGCTTCATGTGGTCAGAAACCCACCACCTCCCAGGAACCACATTAAATGGCCCAGTGGGTGTCAAAACTTCACTTTCATAGATGCACATAAAACAGATAGTTAAAATAGCATGAGGCATCAGCTATCGAAAAAGTTACTTAAAGGCCAAAATGGTTTTTAGTGTGAAAAGCAAGTCTTTAGGGAGCTCTCATCTGCTTGGGCAGACCTGTACTGGCTGTTGGTCTGGGCTCCCTCCCAACGGGATTTCAAGGATTTCGGAGGATTCGGAGCCCGCCAGTGGGAGTGGGAGATTGGGAAACTCCCAATGCTGACCAAGTACACCCTGCTGGATTTGACCCTTCACGTTTTCTGGCTGTGAGATACCTAGACTCCCTTTTCTGTTTTATGTTGAAGAGGCACGTCTCCCTAGACGCTGCTCAGTGGCCACAGACACAGCGTCCAGTCGGCGTGCTTGCCGAGCACCTACAGTTTGCAGCCACCGTGGCACCCATCACACCTACTCACATGACAGTCACTTCAGTTCTGTTCCTCTGCAGACTGAATTTCCTGTATGGGAATGTTTTCAGTTTCAGCAACCTACGGCACCTCTATTGGCTTAGCTTTGGCTTTGACTTAAGCTGCATTCACTGGCATGGAAACCAACCTTCACTTCTTTCAAACTTTGTTCTTACAGACCTGACGACGTGAGACCAGTCATATGAGAATGGGATCAATGAAAACGGTTCTTTCTGGTCCTCTATGTAATATGGCTGATTTTCAGTACCTGAAATAATCATATTAGTGACACATAAGATTAAAAGAACAAAGGAAATGCAGAGGGGCCTCGTCATTCTTCGAACCACATAAGGCCATGAACAAAGAATGTTTCCCAGGCTCACCTGGGCCCCATCCCCGGTAAACACAGCACACTTGGCCTCTCTACATTCATTGGCCTAGAGTTCATGGAAGTGGGATCAGACAGTTATTTGTCCTTTTGAGGCTGACTGTATCCAGCATGTTTCCAAGGCTCATCCATGTTGTAGCATGTATCGACTTCATTCCCTGTATGGTTCATCCATGTTGTAGCATGTATTGACTTCATTCCCTGTATGGCTGGGCAATGGACATGCCCCATTTTGCTTCTGGTGAGTAAGTGCCAAGATGAACCCTGCTCATGTTTGTTTGTGCTCCATTCAGTTCCTGTGGGTGTCCACCTAGGATTGGGATGCTGGGTCACACGGTAGTGCTACACTTACAGCTTTGAGGACCCAACATCTAAAGGTTTCCAGCATCTCTACCATTTTAAAATCCCATCAGCCGGTGGGTGAGGGTTGCAGTTTTTCCGCATCAACACTTGCTATTTATCCTAGTGGGAACTTGTGTTTTAGCAACCTCTAACAACTGACGGCTCACGTGACTGTGGCAGCTGTTACCTCCCATATCTGTGGGCCAAGTGTTAGTCTGGGGGCTCTGCCGACCCACAAGACTAAAGGGCCAATGACCCCCAACCTGCAGGTCAGATGCCAGGCTTACAGGCTGCAGGAGCTGGGCAACCAGGTCAAACAATGGGCCCCGGAGCCAAGATGAGCCAGGTGAGGTGCAGGATTCAGAGCACGAGAAAACCCTGCCAGACCTGCTCACGGCAACCTGGGAGGACAGAGGAGAACTGGTCCATAGGGTTTCCGAGTGTGTGCATCTTTACGGGAGCAAACAGCCTCATCTTTCCCCCAAAAAGTGGCAGGTGGGTTCAAACCCCAGACCTGGCACTTAGTACCACAGTATTTGGCTCATTATACCCGACTCCTTTCTTTGTCAGGACTTCCTACACATTGGATGCAGACCACACCCTAAGGAAAAGAAAGGTGTCGATGTTAGTCATACCTTCCAGTAAGGCACAGGAGATAGTCCCACCCTCATCCTGCCTCTTTGACTAAGGGGCAACTCCCTCCATACATAAATAGACCCCACCCTCCCCACTGCCAGAGGCTACTCCTGCTCACAGCAAGCTTACACAGTTTCCAAGACTAACTCTTTGCCCCTTGGAGTGGTGGGTGGGTTTAAACTGCCAACCTTTCAGGTAGCTGCCCAAAGCCTAACCCACAGCTAGAGGGCAGGATTTCCAATGCATCATAAAGTGGAGGACCCTGGTAGAAGGGCCATGGTAACTCACTAGGCCACAAGAAGAATGTATCTCCAAGGGTCCGTTATGCTTCCCACCTGTTCACTGCAGGTTGTTAAAGGAGACTTCCCCTAGTTCTGAGATTCATCAGGCTAGTGGCCCAGCCTCTAGGGTCACCTGACAGCACACAAATCAGACCTGCCCAGTGAAAGGATACACCTTTCCTGGCTTCCCACAGCTTCTGTAGAGCACAACAAGAGCTTCTGGAACCCATCTTGTACAATGTTATCCAGAGTTTGTGACGAGGCACAGTCAGTACTGTACAACACAGAAAAACACCTTCTGGTCTTCTCTGCTCTCAGCCCAGAGCCATCTGACAACAGCCCGGATCTCTCTCATTCCACATCCTGTTCTGAAATACTTTTAACATCTTGTTTTAAGAACCAGGAACTAAATGTATCTTCTTTCTGGATTCCCCTTATGAGGTATGTAAAACCTACCAAACTCAGGAGTTTATCCCAATGTCTGAGAGTTTGGGTGACCAAAACCAGTTGCTCCATTTATTAAGATTCTTAGAAACCAACAAGCATAACCTCGTATTTTATTTACTTCAGTTAGGTATTTACAAATATTTGCCAATATAAAAATACAGCACACAGGCAGACTGAGAATTTAAGGTTACTCAGCTCCTTGCGCTGCCCACGCCCTCCAGCAACTTCCCAAGGCTCTCAATAGTCTCCAGGTGGCGAGGCACCAGGGCTCAGTATCTGTACTTGGTGGAGTAGTCCTTTGGAGACACAACCAGCCCCCGGCCTTTGCGTGCCCCTCGGTACACGGTCTCTATGATGTCTATCATCTCCTGCTTGTCCTCCATGGCCCAGTTAATCTTGTTGTTGTTGCCAGTGCCCAAGTCGATCATGATGTGCTTGTTCCTGCATGGGGGAAAGGTGAGGGGGGGGGTGTCAGTTCATCTTGTTGCTGGTGCTTAAGGCAACCACCATGTGCTTATTCCCATGGTGTGTGTGTGTGTGTGTGTGTGTGTGTAAGAGAGAGAGAGACAGAGAGAGAGAGAGAGAATTCTCATAAAGATCTCTCAACAGTGAATCCAAGGTAATGCCTGCTATTGCATTTCCCCTCCACATGGCCCCAGCCCTCTTCCTGCTCAAGTCCCACAGCAGCCCAGGGGTTGCCTGTAGTGGTTTCACCCTGGGGGCCTTGTGCAGACTGGACTGGGCCTTTTAATGAAGGCTCCAGGGTGGTAGGAGCTCCCAGGGGGAGGAAACTCAGAGCAGCCTCTTGATGCTGGCAGCCTGGCTCCAGCCAAGGATGGCTGAACCACTGGGCTCTGAGAACGCAAGCACACAGGTGTTGCGTTAGGCTTCGAAGTGTGGACCCTGTCACTCAGCGTAGGATGCTAATGCACCCCTGCATTACCTCCCAGGCCTGCCTGAGAACTGGGCGACCAAGAGCCGAGGGCGGATTAGTGCCCCTGCGCCACTACTGCTATTCCTGTCTCAGTCGCCGCTCAGCTGGCCCGTCCTTCAGAGGAGGACTTAAAACAGACCTTTTCATCCGGAGAGAACATTTAAAGGTATCATCAATGCCAGCAAGAGGCTCTTCAATTTAACTGCCCTACAGGTAAATTTCTAGACAAAGTTATTTACAAAAGGATAAACTGTTAATGGGTAAATGCTGAATCAGACACTGTGATATGAGTGGTTCTAAAGATATCAGGATTCAAGTTCAAATACTATTCAAGCTGAGTAGAAACTTTACCTGAAGAAAAACATGACTGTACAAGGGTCGTATAACTCGTACATTTTGTTGAAGTCAGGGACTTCCGTGATATCCACAAGATAAATAACTGCAAAATTTTTAACCTAAAGATAAAGGACATAAAACAAACATATCTAAAATAAAACATTCTGGTTTTCACTCTGTAACACCACCTTTAATTATTATTATTATTATTATTATTTGGGTAAAAGAGAACATTTTAAAGCTAGCTCCCGACTCTTCACCAGTAAAACTGACGTGCAGGAAGAGCACGAGGCCAACTAGTGTCCACAACTTACTCTTGATGGCTCAAGAGTAATTGCTGAGGAGAAGAGCTAAGCTCTACTCAAGCAGCAAGTTATGAAAGTTGGGCAGAAAATACCTTCACATATATTATTCTAATCTAATAATAATCCATAAGTTTATATATTTGTACATTTGTAAATATGCAATAGTTGCATGCATTAAAAAACAGTTTAAAAATATGCCTCCAGGACTTGCGAAGATGACAACCCTCAAGGAGACGGACTGACCCCGCAGCTCCGACCACAGGCTCACACAAACAACAGTTGTCGGGAGGCGCAGACGGGCAGTGCAGCATTCTGTTGTGAGGCTGTGGTGAGCTGGTACTTCGCAACACTAGAACTCAGAAGAAGCCCCCAAATTCTAGGTGTGAACGCTTGTAAATACTGATAATAACCCAAAACAATATTGCACGAAGTAACTTTTTTTCATTAACTGCATGTTCTTTAGAGAGTTCGTAAAACCAGAAAAATTAAAGGAAATAAAACTATCTCTACCACACCCAGAGGCAACTGATACATCAAATACATCCAGTGTTCTAATCTATGCCTTTGAAGCTTGACGCTTTCTGAGCAGGTCCACAAATGTATCTGCAAAAACACATTCATTTTCCAAAAAACACAATGCTACACAATGAATAATATCTCAAGTGGCTACGCATTGAGTTATTGTTCTGATCTTTTCTGATTTCTCACAGATAGATAATATAAATAGGCGAGAGGTTTCCATTCAAATACATTTTCCAGCTGTGACGTAAGACTTGCACATACTTTACCTGTACCGGCATCACTGGAACCAAGGCCATGAAGTCCCCGGATGCTCAGCTCCCCAGGAAGTTCACACTGACTTACGTGCAAAACGCCTCCAAGCAAGACTAATTTTAAAACCTGACTGTAGTTTATAGATGAAACAGCAGTACCTGATGTACTTTACACACAGCAGCACACAAATGATTGAGGCAGCGAGACAACCCTAGACTGTCAAATATTGCTAACCGTGGAAATGGAGTGGCAGCTATCCAGGGCTTTCCACACACTTTGGGAATATTAGAAAAAATGAATATGTTCATTATAACCACCCCTGCCCGCGGCTTGGTCAGAGGGGTCTCTGTACAGCATCTCCCACCTACCACACACCCTCAGTCCACAATATGGTCATTCAAGAGGAGCTGAGTCCAGTGCCTCCACTCCTTACAATGTTCCGAAGCATCATGGGCTGACCACCACTCGGGGTGCATCCACTTCAGAATCCCTGGAATCTTGCGGATCCCATTACAGGGGTTGTCAATAAACTGGAACTCTGGTTTTACTTAAAAACAAAACAAAACCCCTAGACAGAAAGTGAGACCACAAAATGGTCACAGGCAGCAAAGGGGAGATGCCAAACCTCACCTGGTTTCTGTCCCTTCACTGCCTTGCTCAGACCTACCCGACAGTGATAATTACACTAGATAGTAGATGAGGACCCATCATCTAAATATGAAGGATCTTAAAAGTGGAAGGGGCTTATAAATGGTGTACTTCAGAATAAAAGTCACAAAACATTTTATACTTGTTCCCTGGGTGCAAAAGATACTAACACACCACTTAAAGCTGTGGGTGTGAGACAATCAGAATGCAACGGAGTCAATTAACTTGCTTAAAGATGCAGACATCGAACCCTTCTGCCTCGTGCGTCTGCTCCAATCTGAGCCCCAAAAGAAACACCTGCAGCCAGAACGCAAGCACACTCTATCAGCAGAAAGGCCCCAACAAGGCCTTTCTCACCCATCCACTCCAATGGTCTCAGCACCCAAACAGAGGCCACCCGAGTTAGCTTCCACTTGTGGGGGCCCTAAGCACAACAGAATGAAATGCCACCAGGGCCTGGAGTGTCCTCACAGCCATCGCCAGGGCAGAGCCCACTGTTGCAGCCCTATGTCGTGCCAACCCATCTGGACAAGGCTCTTCCTCTTTGCCGCTGACCTACTACTTAACAAAACACGCCGTCTCTCTAGGAACTGGTTCCTTCTGGCGACATGTGCGGAGCACGAGACAGTCCCCCACTTCTCTGAGATGCACTTCTGCAGGGCAGTTCATGACCCCACAGTGCAAAGACATCCATTCTTACTCATGCTTGCCTTCCTTCCTCATGCCCCGCATTCACATGGGGCTCGTGGAAATGCCATGGTTTAGGTCAAGTACATCTTTGTCCTCAGGGTGTGACAGCTTTGATTTTTACGTTTTCAAAGAGGTCTTCTGCAGCAGATTTGCGCAATAATTCAAGAAATAATTGGATTTCTTGGCCTTTTCTATGAGTGTGGATGATGGATCCAAGTAAAATAAAATCCTTGACAACTTCAGTCTTGCCCCCATTTGCCATGCTGTTGTTTATGAGCCCTATTACCTTTCTGTTTTATGTTGAGGTGCCATCCATCCAACCTGAAGGATGTATTCTTTAATCTGCACCAGTAAGTGCAAGTCCTCTCTGCTGTCAGCAAGCAAGGCTGTGTCATCTACCCACTGCAGGTTCTTCATGAATCTTCCCTCAATCTGATGCTGCATTTTGCTCCATATAGTCCAGCTTCCCGGATCTGCTCAGCATACAGACTGAATAACTATGGTGAGAGGATACAACCCTGACAGACAACAGTCCTGACTTTAAACCCGGCAGTGTTCCCTCATTCTGTTCAAACAATTGCCTCTTGGTCTAAGTACAGAGAAGGGTTACCATGCATGCAGGTATGGGTTCTGGATTTCTCACTGTTTTCAATGTTATTCATACTCTGTTAGGAGCTACAAGGTCAAATGTCTTTGCATAGTCAATACAACCGGTAAATATTTTTCTAATATTCTCTGCTTTCGACCCAAATCCACTAGACACCAGCCATGTCGTCCCTCATTTCATGTCCTCTTCTGAATCCATGCGGAATTTCTGGCAGCTCTCTACTGATGTACTGCTGTTGATTGTTTTAAAATGATCTTCCGAGACAAGCACCTTCCAGCCTACATCAGATCGTGCCCCACTCTCTCTCAGCAGGGCTTCATCCGCCGCTTTTTAAAGTAGATTGCCAGCCCTTCTTAGTCTGCCCTGTCTGCTCACGATGGGTGGACGCTACTGGCATTCAGAGCAGGTGGCCTAGCTTCCCACCTCACAACAACAGTCACCACAGCAGGACAAATTGATAGTGATGGGGGTGCCATGTCCCTGCTGCACACGCCGAAAGTCAGGGGGCTCCAAGCCCCCAGGTCTGGTCTGGAAGGGCGAGAGCACGACGTGAGAGCGGGCAGACACAGCGAAGTTTGTGTCGCTGAAAAAAGCAGCCCAGCCCAGAGATGACAGGGCAAGGGCCAGAGCCGGGGGAACCCTTGTGCCAAGGAGTGTGATGGCCTGCAGGGGCGCGTGTTCCGGCTCACACACATTGCCTGCGTGGCACAACCAGAAGCAATTCCATGCCTCAGAATCCGGAATGAAAGATCATTGCTTTGCCCCAGCCAAAGGTTTTAAGATGCTAAATAAATAATAGAACTTAAAACCATGACTGGAAAGTCCTAGGTAATGAGGTAGGCAAGCAAAGCAGAGCTCTCTCGATTGGGAAGGAAGAGAGAGAAGTTGTTGCTGATGAGATTGCCCATGCAGAAAATCCCAAAGAACCAGCAATGACAAAAGCATTGATTAAAGTAACAAGCATTTACAGCAAGGTGACAAGATATGAGCTAATATGCACGAGTTAATGGTTTTCCTATAAACCAGCAATGGACTATAGGAATTCAAAATTATAAACAAACCACCATCCACATTAACACCCCAAATATAAACACCACCACCACCACCACCACCTAGATATAAACCTAACAAAATACAAGAAAAGTGCTAGAGTAGGCCCACAGAAATAGAATCAAGTGATCTTTGACAAAGGGACAAAGACATTTCAACAGAAAAGCTACTATTTTCAACAAATAGCATCCAAGCAGACATCCACATTTGAAATCACCATGTAGGCCATAGGTTCCCAAACGGATTTGGCCGACTGTGCCCTTTTCAGAAAAAAAAAAAAAAAAATTACTCAGCACCACCTGGGAATGAAACACTTTTGTACTACAGCCTATGGGCACCTGCTTTCACAGCCCCCCCCCCCCGACCCAATCATTCTAGGGGTCCCCAGGGGATATAGGGGAAGTATCGCCCACTTTGGGAAACACTGATCTAGACAGAAGGCTCGTCTTTCACAAAAATCAACTCAAAAAACCATAGACCTAATTGCAAGCTGCCAATCAAACTACAAAGCCTGTAGAAGACAGCAGTCAAGAGTCCATGGGGCACTGGGTTTGGTGATCTTTAATTTCAGATCTCATGTCCAAGATACAAGAAGAACTCTTAAGATTCACCAGTAAGAAAACAAATAACCCAACTTTAAAAAAAAACAGACAAAAGATGTGAACAGACTCCTCAAAGGAAATGCAGATCTGGTAAACAGCAGATAAAAAGATGCTCCCATCGGGTCATCAGGGAGTGCGATTAAAACAAGAGACCAGCACACCTGCACTAAGAGGCTCCAATGCAGGACCAAATGCTGGCAAGACTGCTGAGCAGGCTGCTGGGAAGGCAAACAGCTCGGTTACTCTGGAAGGGCAACTGTCAGTTCCTTGGTGACATGCTGGGCTGTTAACCAAAAGGCCAGCAGTTTGAAATCACCAGGATTCCCAAGTGAGAAAGATGATGAGGCTTTCTACTCCTGGAAAAAGGTACAGTTCTACTCCCAGTGGAAATCAACCCGATGACAGTGAGTTTTGTGTTGTTTAGTGTTTTGCAGGGCTAAATGTAGGCTTTTCCCATTCCAGTGACTGCATGCCTAGGTATTTTCCAAAGTGAGTTGAAACCCCATGTCCACACAAAACTACACATGGGACTATTTACAGCAGTTTTGTTCCCTATTGCCCCTCACAGTAGTGCGTTTGGCCTCTGGTTGCTTCTCCTCCCATCATTCTGTCTGTTCCTAACTTTGCTCTAAAGTACTACAACATTCCCACAGAGCACTTCTCCCTGCTGGAAGGTTAAGGGAGAAAGGTGACTGGCTCACAGGTGTGACGACTCACCGGGCTCAGGGACGATGACAGCTGTTCTCCAAAGGCAGCGCATCAATCTGGCTCCTGCCTGGACAGATGGACAGATGTCACAGTGACCACCATGCAACCCCAGCCATTACATCCTGTATCTCCATGTGAACTACATCAAAACCGACTTATGGAGGAAGTCAGGCACTACTTGCATTTTCTAAAGTGAGTCTTTGCCCTTATTACTCCATTCTGCTTGCCAAACCTCAGTAGTTTTTGAAAAATAGTTTTGGCCACTAGATCTTAATGTAATGCTGCAGGAGGTCCCTGACTTCAGTCTCTGTATGCCCCTGTGTTAGACAGAGTTCCCTAGAGAAAAAAAAACAAATTGCTGATAATTTATTTATTTATAATCAGATATATAACAAGAAATGAACTGTTAAATCATATACAGGTAAATATATAATACAAGAAATGAACAGTTAAATTATAAAGCACTACAAATGGCTCAGTGCAACTCACTCCCGTGAGAGAGTTGTGAGAGATTAGCAGTCCTTCAAGTCTAGTCTGCTGCCAGATCTTCCTCTATTTATAGAGAGAGCTAGGCTATGTCAGCACAGCAGCCAATCACAAGGCAGGTCACCAACTGTCAGCCAGGTCACCAACCGCCAGTCCCCAGCTCCAGAGATGTCTTAAACGGACCTCAACTTACAGCGACACAGTTCACAGGCTAGACATCCCACAGGTAGTGTAGCCTCTAAATTGAGGGACAGAACAAGCAAGGCAGCCGCACACTGGTCCGATGATCAAAGAGCGAGAGACAAGAAAGGCGAGGCTCACCGAGCCATTTATCTCTCTGCCCTTCAGTTAATCCCACTAGTGTTTATCGGCCAGGCTGGCACAATAAACTATCTCAGCCCCTCATTCACGCCTTTGATCAGATCATGAGGCTATGAGATCCCTGACACGCTGCCTGGTTTAGGTTCCACAGGCGTAGACTTTTTAACTTACAAAAGTTAATGTCCCATTTCCCCTTATTCATCATGTGACCCTAACTGAACCCTGAAACATTGCTGGTTTACACACTGTGCTGCTTCAGAATGGAGAGTCCAAATTTACAGTCGAGTCTCTTTTCAAAGCTGTGGGTAAAAGCAGCTGCTCAACAGGAAAACAGGTTTTTATCCTCATTCCACCTAACAAGTTGCCCCAAACACCCAGCAGGTCTGTAATCTGCCTCCTGCACCTGCAGGCTGACTTCATTCGGCAGACAGCTCCAAACTACCCCAGGATGGGTGTAGGGGCGGGGTGAGGGGGTAGGGGAGGGGGGTTGGAGAAGCAGCAGGTCAATACACCACATGTAGGATAAAGAGCATAATCAAGTCCAGCCTCCCATTTGCAATTTTTACTCACTTTAAAACAGCTGTGAGGTCCAAACAGGACTTGTTACATGACAAGGATGCACCCCACTATCTGCCATTTCTGTAGAGGGAGATTTTTAAATAAAGCATTATATTGTTTTGTATACGATAACCTTAATTTCAAAAATTCCCTTTGAGACTCCCCAGAGAGGGCTTCCAGAATTAAATTTTTGATTTGCCCTTACGCTAAAAAGACGAAAATAAAACACCAATAGTCTTTGATTACATTTCAAGTTTGCAAATTGATTAACTATAATAGCAAAAGCTGATTAAAAAGAAATCCAAATTTCAGGGAAACAAAAAGGAGAAATTTAAGAGAACAAAGAAAATTTCTGCCGGTGTGCAATGGCTGCAAACAGCAAGCCTCCTCGGTAGTGTATGCAGCCTACTGGTAAGTACATGCTGCCCTAAGGGACCTTGGAGACAACCCTTTGCTGTTTTTTTATGCCTCTGGCCTGGCTAATTTCTGCTCTCCCTAAACTAGACTCCAAACTGGGATGCACGGTGCTTTTGGGAAACTTCAAGGCACAGTGGCTAGAGTCCACATTGGCTAGGTTATCATGTCCATCCGCACCAAGCTTCAAAACAAGGAGCATGTGATTGAGGCCTTACGCAGGGCCAAGTTCAAGTTCCCTGGGCGCCAGAAGGTGAGCCATACAGCCATCTCTTTATTTTATTTCTTGGCCTGCCTTACCCCTGCCCCACCTTCCGGTCTGATGTTCTTCTCCCTCCTTAGAGCCACATCTCCAAGAAGTGGGGCTTCACCAAGTTTAATGCTGATGAGTTTGAGGATATGGTGGCTGAGAAGCATCTCATCCCGGTTGGCTGTGGAGTCAGATACATCCCTCACCATGGCCCCTGGACAAATGGCAGGCCCTGCGTTCATGAAGGCCTTGGTTGCCCTGTGCTGCCTCACTTGTACCCACCAAATACAAATTGAATTTCCTGATTTGAAAAAAAAAAAAGAAAGAAAATTTCTGAAAGTGAGCTGAATCAGATTGTCCTCACTGCTGGGTTCAGTACTTCAGGCGCTTGGTCTCCACTATAACCCTGGGAGAAGGCCAGAGCCTGCAGGGAGGGAGCCTAGGTGCAGAGGAGAAGCCTGCGAGGCCCCTAGCACTTACATGAACACACAGTGTATCCTAGCTAACAGGGTCTGGAAAGTCCTGCCTCTGTAGCCATCCTAGCCTCACCACAGGGCAGGTCTGGGTATCTCTTGATGTGCATGCTGCCACCTGCAGGGCAGAACAGTGAAAGGTTCCAGAATACACATCCCAAAGGTCTCAGTCAATACAGCAATGATGTGTTTATCCAAGATCACTCCTAGTTCATCTGTCACGAAACTACAGTGTCTGCCCTTGCCCACTCTGGCTGAAGCAATGGGTAAATAGCTCCTGACACCTGTCACTCACTAGCTCTGATCTGAGTTGGAGGGCTTTCAGCTAAGGAGAGAACTGCTGCTCTCTTGTATCCCCTCCACCATCATCATTGTCCCCTTGGTGTCGCAGGAGGAAGCTGGGACACAGCTTGTAGGGCACTCACTACCCTGGTCCTCCTTCCACTGACTGTGTTTTGGAGTGCGGATTCCCTGGGAATCCGCTCAGATCCCCTAGGATGGAGTGTCTTTAAAAGCAGTTTCCTAGACTCCAACCTCAAACCAAACCCATGGTCCTTGAGACCATTCCGACTGAAAGAGATCCCATAGAGAGTTTCCCAGTTTGGGTGTCTTTACATACCTCTGTCTCCCTTGGGGCAGTTTGAACCACTACACTTGTGGTGAGCAGTGCAACACAGCACCACCTGGGATCCTTAGACCCCACCTCAAACCCATGAAACCAGACGTCCTGAGAAGCATTTTAATAAACACTTCAAAAATGTATGAACAACAATTCATGCACACACACGAACAGCCCCAAAAGTTCATCCAGCAACCACCCCTACCTCACACTGCCCTTCTACATAAAATCCCCTCCTGCCAAGTCAGTTCCAACTCCTAAGGACCCTACAAGACAGAGCAGAGCTGTGCCACAAGGTGTCTGAGTTGGTAAAGCTTCATGAAAACAGCTTCCTCTTTCCCCCAGGAGCAGCTGGTAGGTCCAAACCACTGAACTTTCAGTGAGCAGCCCACTGTGCGTCAGGGTTTCCTTTCCTACCATGGTTGTCAGGTGCCATTCCAACCCACAGTGACTATGCACAACAGAACAAAACACCCCAAACTGACTTTCTGACTCATACATGAGAGTGTAAAAATTAGTGGTGATGTTTCCTATTCCTGATATAACTACTATATCACTAGTATTTTCTCAAATCTATTTTAATCAAATCTATATTAGCATATCTCCTATGCCCAGAAAGACGTTGCTTTGACGTCTACCTATGAACTATTAATGCTTTAGTATTTTTGTCTTTTGCTCAACTACTATAATGTAAACATCAAAGTTATCCATCAGGAAATGATACAAAGAGAATGAAATCTCTGGTTATATAACAGGGCCAGACAACGGTCAACTAACAAGTGCCATTGACCATTCAGTGCACTGATGTTTGCTTTGTTCTAACAAGGCACAACTCGGCCTTTCTCCTAAAGTTACCTTAATTAAAATCAGTCCAAATGACCAATAAAGTGACTTAAAGAGAACAGGGGAGAAAAAGCCAGTGAAAGAAAAAAGCCAGGACTTATTACACACGCGCTGTTTAAAAAACAAGCCAAGCCATCGAGCAGAGACCCTAGATGAGGTTTCAGAGATTGTAAATCTTTACAGAAGGTGCCAGCCTCATTCTTCTCCCAAAGAGTGGTCGGTGGGTTTGAACCGCCAAACTTGAGGTTAGCAGTCCAATGCGTATGTACCTGGCCCCTTAAGAGTCCAGAAAAAGACATTCCTGTCTAACTAAGCTAGCTAAATACAGTTTGAATACTTTTACCTAAATCTGTTGGGCAATTACATCCTCAATTACAAGCTCACCTGGATCTGCAGTTCATTTGGTTTCTCCCCTTTACTTGGTCAATGCGCTTACATGGAGTATGGGGTACAGCTTTTACCCTCACTGTTCAATTCAACCACCATAAGGTGTCCAGCACAGGGCATGAAACGCCTCGCCACCTGAGAAACACTAACCTTTTCAGCTATGCTGTAGAGAACTTCATCCATTTTCATGCATGTGGGATCCCAGTCATGCCCAAACCGGTTGACTACCACGCGGTCCTCCTCCGAAAGGATGGCCTGGTCCACCTGCCAGCCATTGTGGAGATGCGGGAGCATGTACGACATCTTGGCCACGGAATGGCGACCTGAGACAGGGAGCCGCGGGCTTCAGTCTTCACTGTCGCCCCATGCCATCCATAAGCTGCAACGGATCAGGCCCTCACCTCTGCGGCCCCATCACCCCAAGTGGGTCCCGGGGGGCGCAGGGCGTGCCCCAGCCGGTCCAGCCGCCGTCTGACACTCACCACGGCTCCAAGCAGGTACCTCACCCCACTCCCGAGGCTCCCCGCCCCCTCCCCGGGTCCTCATCCTCCAGTCCCCCACTTGCGCCTCCAAGCAGAACCTGCACTCCCGGGCCTCCCCCGGGTCCCCTACCACCAGCCCGAGACAGCGCCCCTCGAACTCCCCCAAGCCCCTCCCTGGATGCCCAGCCTCCAGGCCCCGGCCTGAGCCTCCCCCAGACCCCCGGGTTCCAGCCCGAGCCTGCGCCCCCTAGTTTCCTCGGGGTGCCCGGCCTCCAGCCTGTCTACCCGCCATTCGAACCATCGAAACGGCGCCCCGCACCAACCTCTCCGCTTCCCTACAGCCTCCCGAGCAAGGAGCAGCGCCCAGCAGGCCGCTCCACGGTTCTCGCTACCGCCAGGCTTGGGCGCGCGTTAACGTAATGCGCGTGCGCGTGCGTGCGTGCGTGCGTGCTACGTGCTTCCGCGCGACAGAGGCCGCGCGACTTGGTCTCCGTCAGGGGAGCGACTCTTGGCGGCTGGAATCCTGAGTAGATTTTCGGAGTTTGGTAAGGAAAAAGTAGCGGCGGCGTAGTCATGTGGAAAAAAGCCAAGCCGGATTTGCCGTTATCCCATTTCGCTGGCACCATGCCGTTTGTCATTTGTCGTCCAACAGAAGGACAGGGCTGGACCGGGACCTCAAGCCGACCCTTCCAGTCCACCAGGCACCATCGCCACTGTGGCTATTGTTTCAAAAAGATACTTAGCTAGACTCTTCTTCCTTTTTTTTTTTTTAGCTAGACTCTTCTTAGTGGAAGCTGAAATAATTTGTCACCAATACGGGCATTTGCTTAAGATACCATTTTCGAAGTCCTATCTCTACCAGTGAACATCCTCTTGTCTAGCCAGAATTGTAAGGTAGAATTGGGATCGTTTTAGGGGGGTGGGGTGGGGAGGAAGCATTTAGGAACTAGAAGGGAAAAAAAAGACAACGTTTTCATATTTTTTCTTCCCGTGCTGCCCAAGCGTGAAGGCACACACAGTATAAGTTAAGTAACAACTTGTGTTGAAAGGCAGTCTAGACTGGGACAAAGTCCACATTCACGAGCAGACAGGAACAGAAAAAGCAAGCGTGGTACCGTTGAAGTCCGAGCTAAACCAACCTGACCGCAGGGACCTAGCAGGGATCAGTGGCCAACTTCAGTGCTTTTCCTTGTATCTGCATGGTCACAGGACAACGGCAAGACAGATTTTCCCGGGACCTTGCTATTAAAATTGATTCTCAGTCATGCCTGTTCCTGGGTGTCCTGATAAAGGTTTATTGCTAATGCTGAGCTTCTGGATTGTGACATCCTGCACCGACAAGAACACAAAAGAAAAAGTTTCCTTGAGGGGAGATGGATAGGTTAGCTCAGTCAAAAGCTCAAAAAGGCAACTTTAAGATTCAACCTAGATTCTAGACTTGTGTCAAGACTTTAAGACTGAGATAAGGCTCCCCTTTCAGACTGCTGTATTAGCATACACCGTGTACTGATTTTGGAATTGTAAAGTCGTTTACATGTAAGTTTAAAAAGTGATTATAGATATTGGAATAGTTGCTCAAAATTTGTTACTGTGTCGTAATATCATAGAGTTAGGAGACACTGGCCAGAGGAATGAAATGGGAAGTATATGGCACTATAAATGCTTTGCTGTTCATTAATAGTTTAAACACTAGACCCACCTTCAGTAGAGAAGCGGTAGAGTATAACTCACTGATAGATTATATTTTTATTGCATGACAATTTACTCAAATCAGATATATGTAAAGTGTACGATTCAATAACTTTGAGTATATTTCACAGAGTTGTACAACTCTCTCCACATTTTCATCACTTTAAATGTCTCTTCTTATTTCTCTCCAGCCCCCTCACCCAGCCTCTCCCCCAGCTCTAGTTGTTAGGTGTCATCGAGTTTGTTCTGACTCTGAGTGATCCTAGGTCCAAAAGAATAGCGCGCTGCCTGGTCTTGCACACCTGTTTTTATGAATAGCGCGCTGCCTGGCCTTGCACACCTGTTTTTATGAATAGCACGCTGCCTGGTCTTGCACACCTGTTTTTATGAATAGCACGCTGCCTGGTCTTGCACACCTGTTTTTATGAATAGCGCGCTGCCTGGTCTTGCACACCTGTTTTTATGTTTGAGCCCATTGCAGCCACTGTTAATCCATCTTGTTGTGGCCCTCCCTCTTTTTTTTTTTTTTACTGACCACCTTCTTTTGTCTTTGTAGATGTACCTATTCTGGACATTTCTTATACATGGAATCATGATATGTGGCCTTTGGTGACTGACTGCGTTCACTTAGCATGATGTGTCCAGGATTCCTCCATGACATAACATGTGTCAGTACTTCATTCCTTTCTATGGCCATATAGTGTTCTGTAGTAAAGAGTGCTGGTGACATAGTGATTTAAGTATGGAGCTGCTAACCATAAGACTGATGGCTCAAAACCACTATGGTGACTATCATTTTGCCGTGTCAGCAATATGTATATTCTTGCCAACATTGTTATTGTCTCCTTTAAAATTCTAGCCACCTCTGCCCACCCAAGCCCATTGCTATTGAGTCAGTTCCTACTCATAGCAAGTCTACAGGGCAGGGTAGAACTGCTCCTGAGGGTCTCTGAATCTATAACTTTTTACAGGAGTAAAAAGCCTTATCTTTCTCCTGCATATCAAACTGCATGTTGGCCTTTAAGATGCTGAAGTCTTTGTGGAAGCAGATGAATACCTTTCTTATGTAGAGCAACTGGTGAATTCCAACTCCTGACTAACCACTGTGCCACCAGGACTCTGTCTAATCACCATTTGTTTCACCTCATCCATTGCAGTCCCTGCACTGTGCCATCACTCCCCGCTGTCCCTCTTTCCTGCCACTATCTGTCACTTCCTGACCCTCTGTACTTTGTCCCCACAAGCTGCTCTTCCGTAAAAAGAGTTTATCTGCCTTGGTAAAGATTTACAACCTTGGGTTACCATAAGTTCAAATGGCCTTGATGTCAGTGGGTAGAGACTTTGTCCTTGGGCAAATACTGCCCTTTGGATCTTAAAGTGCTGATTATTCTAACTCAGGGGTGAGTTCAGTTCCAGACCTCAAGGGTGGCTACAGACTATAGTCTTGGTTCCACCAGTCTCTTATGGTTTGGAACTTTGTTCCACATTTGTCTCTCGCTCTTTCCAGGGCTTTCTAATGTGGTCCTTTGCAGAGCAGTTGGTAGTGGCAGCCAGGTACCATCTAGTTCTTCAGGTCACAGGGTCACGGAGGCTGATGTTTGCATGGTCCATCAGCCCATCGGACTAAATGTTGCCATGTGTCTAGATTTTCATCATCCTTTGGATGGGGAGAGACCAAGGCTTGCTCCTTCAAAGGTTGTTTATGAGCTTTTAAGACCCCAGTTGCTACTCATTGAAGTAGGTATAGAACATTGACTTTGTGAACTAAGTTTTGCCAGTTAACCTTGTGTCCCTTTCAAGACTATGAACCTGTCTCAACCTGTGGGTCTTGACCTCTCCAGGTGGTTGAATGACCCTTTCACAGGGGTTACTTGGTTCATAACAGTAGCAAAATTATAGCTGTCTGTGACTTAAGGTTTTGCAGGTGGGTTTTTTTTGGTGTCGGCCCTCTTTGTTTCCAAGGAGCTCTCTGTCATATCATACAATAAGTGAAGGGACTTTAGCAACATCGCTCTTAAATTTTTCTTTTCAAGTATAAGAATAAGCAGAGAGGAAAGTTGTATTTTTCATCATTGCTACATCACAACTTGACTGGCTCGTCTCCTCCTGGAGACCCCTCTGCAAGGGGATCTCCAGTGGTCTACATATGGGCTTTGGGTCTCCACTCCATACTCCCCCC